AAATGTTTTTTTTTGTATTTGGAGAGCAACTTTAATCAAATTTTTAAAATTAAAAGTATTCGAGATTTTCAATATTTCAGACAATATAAGCGAACTTTATTCATTCAAAGCTATCACTTTTCTACAAAGAAGAAAACGATCAGCAAGCATCAGTGCAATGATACTAAATGAGTAGATGAAAAATTGATATAAAAAAAGAAATTCATAAATGTTTAGCAGTCTTGGGATAATTTTCCATGTTTTGATTAGTTCACAAGTAGCGGATCCATGGCTCTTTGCTTAGCTAGTTCATTAGTGGCTCGTCATGGTTTCGAACCTTATGATCAATTGGTTCGCTATAAATGGTGGTTTAGACATGGGTACATGTCATCGACAGGAAACTGTTTTGATATTGGTGACAGTACTAGGAAAGCACTTTGTGAGTTTGAAAATCGACAAAAATTCTTCGCTCAACTGCACGGTATTCCATTAGAAGGAATCGATTATCTATCAGATAAGCAACTTCTTGCAGATTTTCCTATCTATTGCAGCTCAGATGGAGCAGCTGGTAATGGTGTACTTATGCGTTTGGCACCTGTACCTCTAATTTTCTACCGAAACCCANATATATAAAATCATAGTAGAGTGAAAAAAAATTGCAACGATGAGAGCAAAGCGAGGAGTATTGTTGATTGTGCTCAGGCAAGTAACACATCACAATAGCGTTAAAATTATACGTAGAATAATTTTTATTTCTAAGTAGTTTGCTCGATACGATTTGTATTCTATGCACTTCTACTTTTTCATTAACATTTGATGAAATAAACAGAATCAAAACTGAGAGATGCCAAGCAGCCTCACAATATGATCAATGTTCATCGAACACCGCATGCGGTTGTTTGTCCCTAGCGGCTGAAGATAATAAAAGAATTTGTGTCTATATTCATCTCACCTGCACTCATTTGGTTTCATGTGCTGATACGAATCTAACATGTCATCAATTGTGACATGTTTGTGTAAATCATTCACGATGTAACAATGTTCCAATGTGTTACCCAATAGACATGGTAAATCGTATCATATGCCCACCGATAATACGTAAGTGATTATGGGAGATTTTCAACATGTTTATTGCTCTGTCATATAGCTCTCTCATCTTCAATATCTAACGTTTGTGGAAGTGTTAATTCATTGTCCTGCTTGGACAAAATTTCATCTGGTCAGTATTCTATTTTCACCGATGATAGCATAGTTCAGCCCTATTTTGACATCACTGGTTTATATCGGGTCACTTCGGACTCTTTTGTTCATGTCCGGCAAAAAGGTGACCAGTTGACATGGGCATGTGATACAACAATATTTGAACACAGACTTCAAGCACAATACATCAATGTAACTCATACAGTTGGTATTCAGACCCGCCTCAATTTGTTGACAAGATGTATCGTCTCATTTATCGTTCAAATCAAGATTACAGGGCACAAGAAATTTTGTCATCAAGCATCCATTGTTCCATTCTCGGCTCTGTGTGGTTTACCTGCAAACTACACCGAATACATCTGTTACACGAATTAGCGAATAATTGCTTATTTGTTAAGTTTGTTTGGGTCTCAGTATTACAAAAATAAATGTAATTCTATCGAGTCTAAACAAATTCTCTTAGTCATTTATTCTTTTAAAGTATTGAACTGAACATTTAGTGCCAAAAACACGAATATAACATTATCTGATTTAAAGATTTCGATTCGACACAAGTTGAACATATGTAATTGATTTGTTTTGAAAAGAATTTCTCTAGTTTGGAACAAAAACGAATTGATTTCATCTGTTTCTAGCATTCTGAGACAGAAGAGATTCCTGGAATTGATTGACCTTCAAGCCATGAACAAGAAAATGTTATCTAAATCTGATTTATTGAATTTTAAAATTTCTCAAATTCTTTTTTTGACTATCCGCAAGTCGCTTCGTGGAACATTCATCTTCATTCATTTTTTTCATTGATTCTATCTGTTTCTCAACCTCCATGTTGATATCGCTGAGACAAATATCCTCGATTGGGAAAAATGTACTTCGAATAGTTGAAAGGAAAATTTGTTTTTCCATATTCTGCAAGTGAAGAGAAAGCTTGCAATGACATTTTCTTGATTTAGACTTAATCAATTTCAAGTTCGGCCAGGTTCTTAGTTGATTCTATTAGTGTCTCGATGCGTTCAGTCGCTTGAATTTAGTTTTGAGCGGACTTGCTCAATTGTAATGCTCATATGCTCGAACGGACGAGAAGTACTCGAGTATCTACACCCACACATCCATAGTCACGTTACATCGAGCAGCAGCCACAAATAGGGATGTATCAAGTCCGAGCCTAAACCGAGTTACTCGGATTTGGTCGGCTCTGGCTCGGACTCAGTAAAGTTTGAGGTCTCTCTGTTTCGATTTATCTTGGTGTCGATTATCTAAATTTTGCATTCTAGTCAGTACCTTATTTGTTTCCTTTTGATATCCAATAACACCACTGCGATGTTTGTACTCGAAATCCACTCTTATACAATGGTAGATTCATTGAAAGTAGGAATGCACTAATTCCAATTCTAAGAATTCAAATTGGTACACTGTAAGTCAAGTGGAGATCAAGAGTTGAATTTGTTGTAGACCTGTACTACAATATGATACATCAGAAAAAAATCTCGCTTAATAAATTTCTTTCTTAAGAGAAAAGCGAGACCAAATCCGAACCAAGTTTCACCGAGTCTGATCGGACCCTAATCAGACCAAGCTCAACCAACTCCAAATCAAACATAGTTAGACCGAGTCCGGGATACTTGAGCTCGGTACATGCCTAACCTCAAACCATACGCAGAGCAAGCACCACACTTTTCCAATACATATCGAATTCACTTCAAATAAAAGTCTTTAATTAAAGAGTCCTTTACACTGTCATAGATGAAAATATTCTACTCGTGTAATCAATACTAGAGTAGACAATCGAATTTATCAGAATTTTTTTGTGATTGACCAATAAGTATTGATTTCTATTTCGTGCTTTAGAAAAACGTCAATAAAACAACTCTTTCTCTCATGCTCAAAACAATCATTCAGTTTTATAGCTATGCAATTCAATCGAGCAAGAATTGAATGAAAATTAGTATGTAACGGTCAACGAAAGATGAATATCTACGGAAAGAAAATTCTACAAAAACTAAACTTATCGATCTTGATGCTCAAGCTTTAAATCTGAATAATGAAGATGAATTGAATCTCCTGCATTTGAAGAAGTTCATCGTAGTACCGATACACATGTTTCATTATCTTTCGTATTAAAACGAGATAAATATGATTCTCTGGCTAGATAAATATTTTAATATGTAAAGTGTCAAATCTCTTTGTGGATGTTTACTGGTTTTAGTCAATATAGCAATAGAAATTGATAAAGATAAAAGGAGGAGTAATGTTCAAGTACAATAACATGGCTTAATGTATTCATAATTATGTGTTATTGGTTTTATTATAATCATACTCGAGCACATGATTCCTAAAGAGTCTACAAGGTAAGACGATTGACGTCGGTAATATTTTGATGCTGATATACGTATCGTGACATATAATACAAGATTACCATTAGGCAATCAGTTGCACGAGCATATTCGATCTTCGAAAAAGAAAAACACTTTCAATTTGTTATTTGCTTTTTGTTCCATATATTTTAAATGTTAATCCTGCTTGAGAGTGGCTATAAAAATAACAATCTATCATTTGTTTTTTTTTGCCAAACAGATATAATGATACGTATACTGTTCACAATCTTTATATGCCTTTATGGTTTGAGCTCGGTGTCGAAGCAAGCAACAGCTGTATGTAATGAGTTTTTGTATCAAATTAAAATTGATTTGATTTTGCGATAAAAGCCGTGTTTGATAAAACATAATTTATAATAATATCGTAGATGCCATTTGTCAAAACTCGTAATAATCAAAGAGTATTGCTCTATAACAGAATCATCCTTTCTTAAGCCACATCCAATAGTCCGTTGAGTTAAATAATATTTATATGGAGTACGTGATCAATGAAATAAAGCTAGAAGAGAGACTGAATAAAATTACTTTTAGAAATAGTTTGTATTCTACTTTTGGAGCATCCAGTATAGAAGAGCACTATATAGAACATTATTCATTACTCAATCAGAAAACGACAGAAAAAGTACGCTATTTTCAGAGATTCATGTTTCATGTATTTGATTTGAAAAAAATTAAAATCTTTTACTTTCTGACATAGACTACATTTTAAAGACCCCAACACAGCATTCCAGCTACATAGATCAATCGAAATGATGCCCTAACCTGTTTAATTTTATGCATTTCTAAGTAGAGCTGTAAAAATAAAATTAAGTCGATTTTTTATCAAGACTATGCTTATTCTAATAGCACTGATAAATGATTTCAAGTATTTCTTTTTTAATCATGACTTGAAACTTTGCTTAACTAGATTGGAAGTTTATTCAAGAACAGCAGACTCGAACTAGCTTATTAATAAGTGCCGCAGAGTAGCCGTAGCATGTTTTTTAACTAGAACTTGTTTTTCTCATAGTCTGTATTGAGTGAGATTTTCAAGTTGAGTAGCACTTTTAGCCAATGCTGGATGAACTCAGTCAAATATCTATTTTCTCTAAATCCATCAACCAGTAAAATCTGCGGTAGTTTGTTCAATATGATACATAGGAGTTATCTATACTTGAATGTGTATTGTTATCTTCTAACAAAAACTCTTAAAATAAATGTAAACATTGAATAGATGATCAGCTAGAACGTTCAACATATTCCGGAATGTTGGACATACTTATTCTTACGTTCAAATAAGCGGAGAAAAGAGTTTATAGATTAATTTTTCTTTATTCTATCAAATAAAAGTTGAACATTGTATTACGATAATTAGTTCATTGTTATGTAGAATAATTTATTTTGTATCTTGAGGAACCTTACACCTGGTACAATGAACCGGCTCAATGGTCTTCGAATTCATCTACTATTATGGTTCACACAGATGGAAAAACAGATTTTTGGAGACTCACGCATTATGGATTCGAACGTGACAATGGTCATTTTTATTATCGTTCTATGGACTCTGAACAATCATTTACTGTTACAGTCAACATACAAGGCGACTACAAAGTAATTTATGATCAAGCCGGTCTGATGCTTCGCAATGATGAATACAATTGGATCAAGTGTGGTGTTGAATATGTTGACGGACTTCATTATGCTAGTGTTGTTGTTACTGTGAACGGTTGGTCTGATTGGAGTGTTGTGCCCCTTGATACACGTCCAAATCCTTTGAGGTTACGAGTCAAACGCGAGAAAGAAGCCGTTCATATTGACTATGGAGAAGGTGAAAATGGCCCATTCAAAATTATGCGACTTGCCTACTTGCCACTGGCGAAGAAAACACATTCAATCATGGTCGGCATTATGTGCGCTTCGCCTAATGAGGAAACGGACGGTTTTGATGTCAGTTTTGATCAACTGAATATTACTCAACATTCATCAAATAATAATCCAATGAAATAAAAATAGATGATGTTGAAATCAATGGATCATGATGAATGAGTAGAAAGAAACAAGCAATTCTTATTTTGTATATTTTCTGTTTTACTCTAATTTTTGTATTCGAAGTAATTTCGGCGTTCATTTAATAGGGCATCCATATAGAATTATTTCTGTTATTCTCCACTGTCAATTGAAAATATAGCCAGCTCATTGAAAAATTGATTTATATGCGAGTTGCATGTGAATTAGTAGAGATCTTTAAACCATGATGATGATGCATATGTCGTCTCGGAATATGAATGAAAAATTACGTATGACACTAGTCGATAGTCTTTACTCACATATTATCAACTTTCTATGGATGAGCGACGTATGCATACATGTATGATGTGTAAGAAAAACTAGGTGAAGTTAGGGATGCACATATTCCGATTTCCATCTATTTCTATTCTTCGACTTGACTGGAGCTGACTTGAGTTGATTTTAACTGATTGAAGATGAGCAGAATTAACATCCCATCGCATTAGAACTGATCTAGTATTCATTGAAATTACTTGGAATTTCTACTCGTAAATCTCAAGAAACCACTTTCGAGATTCGGATCCCTTGACTCCAACTAAATATTTGGATTCCAGAAAATCGTTTTTTTTCTTGTACTATGTATATACCAGAGAGCGAAACCCATGCATAAAAATGGTGATGAGAAAGTAGAAGAATAAATAGCTTACGCAAAAGGAACAGTAGAATATATATATAGCAAATAAGGTGTACAAAAAAAATAACATTATTTTTACTCTTACTGTGAGTCGAATCAAATCAAATAATGGTTTTCTCATTCGTTTCGCACTCTGATTGACACCCACACACTCATACTAAAATTACGTTAGAAATTAATAAAATAAATATTTCTTTTTCGTGTTTCTTGTATAAACTCCTTATTTATTGTTGATTCTTTTTATTTTATTATCGTCAACGTCAAAGTTTTTATTGCCCAAGAGTTATTCGTCATCATATGTATTGATTCGTAGAGAAATAAAGTCTCATTATCCTTCAGAATTGTATAATTGTGTGGTTGAAGTTTTATCAGTGTTCAGCGATGCTCTTGAAGAATGGCATCATGAATTTAACAATCGAATATAATCTAAGCATTCCATGTTGACTATGTTCCTTAAATGTATTGTATGAGAACAATCCGAGTTCGAACTTGCTCTCGTACGACTTGGCTGTTGTAAACTTCATTGGCTACTATGCGTAATTATTTTTTCTTGAACTCTCTATCTTACTGTTCTGTTTGAATTGAAATTCACTTTATAAACATAAATCGATGTGTACAATTGGCGTAATCAGATGAAATGAACGAAGATTAAATGAATGCGACAAAATAATTTCTAGGAATACTTTCTAATCCACAGAGGCTGAACTCTTGTGGAAACAATTAGTTTGATCTTTGAGACTGATAATACGATATACGTCAGCTAATACAAAATTGGAAGATTCGAAGCATCTCGATTAGTTACACATGATTTGTAACTATTCATATCAACTACATTTTAAAATCAATATTTAATTTTACTTAACAGACTGCTCATTCTGTTCTACGTTATTCTAATGATTCGGCGGATTCTTTTTCATACATTTTTCGTGCACTGCAATTATTAAAAATAAGCATTACCAAGAGTTTTTTTTTTATGCCCACTCAAATCAATAGCTTAAATAAATATGTATTAAGCAGGCAAACATGCAAACAGCTCGATTTTGTTCGATTGCCACCAGTTCTTTTTTCGTCATGATTTTCAGTTTCATAATAAACTTTCATGTGTCTCAATATGTTTTTTAACGCAATAATTTTGACTAACTTGAAAATTGGGATCAAAGCTAACAACAAATAAAAAAAAATCGTTTGCACGTTGCACTCTGCCTTATTCGAGAAGTTAATTTTTTCCTACAGAGCTTCAATTCATTTATGTAGTTAATATATCGCATCTCATACGTACGAGATGAATTGATTCGCAATTTGTGCACATTTTCTTTTCTATTTGCCCAATATTAAAAAAGGCAGTTAAACATCAAGTTGCGATGACATCGGTCAATATTCAATTGTCTCGTGTACATAGTACGCCTCATGAATGTACTCAGGGCACTAATATTGTGTATCGTGAATAGATTGAAACACGTATCGAAGATGATCGAACTTATTTAGCTCTATTGTAATAGTTCGTTCGAACGATAAATAATCTCGATTGCATCAAGATCTCATCGAACACATTCGGATAATGTTTCCGTGATATTAGGACGAAATTTGTTATCATGTTGATGGTTTCAAATGTTCTTTGGAACAAAGAGACGAAGATAAGGATAATTTACGCATCACGATCGATTGGAAATGGAAAAATTATGAATGTTTCACAAATTCTAATATGCTTTTATCGTATACGGTGAATATTGGCAGAAGATTAGGATAGAGTAGCCTAAATGGATTAATGTGCGTCAAAAACTTCGTCAGAATCGATCGCTCATAATGCCCCATAAGTGTTATCTTCAAATTGAAAATTTTAGCAATTGGCACATCCGTAGGTTTTAGATAGCACTTTTAAGAGTGTTGCCAAAATTTCGTAACTGGCTACACATTTTCGTTCGTTACTCTATTCTTTGTTACAATGAACACTCCATAAGTATGATAGGATAAAATATATCGATGCGGGGAAAAGTCGAAAAGTTCTTTAGAAAATTTGACCTTTAAAATACACTTTTTATTTGTGGCGGGATGCTAATGCCATAACAGAAAATATACACAGACCAATAAATACATAAAGAAAAGATTTATAAATCTAATCATTTTAATCTGTTTGAGTGTTTGTTAAACATTCAATATGTGTACTTATCCAATATTTGGTAGTTGTTATTTTATTGAATTGAAAAATAAATCTATCTGACGCGAGCAATAGTTTCCATTTTTGAAACTGAATGAATGAAATAAATGACGATAGTGGTTGACTTGTATTTCTGGAATGTGAAGCAGATGTGACCATCGTAATAGAGTTTTAGATGTGGAATACTTGTTTTTCTTATATCATTATTGTTCATTGTTATAAAATATGACTCATTCTCCTTTACTACTGATTATACTAACAAAATACTCATGTGATTCGAATTGGACTAAAAAAAAACAAACGGCTGTCAGCTTACTGCTGTTTTTTGACAGGGGTGCATTAGATGAAAACAGATGAGTATTTTTAAAATTTTTTTAAAACGAACAAAATTGAGTAGATTTCGGTGGACTTTAATAATGTTGATGTGTCTGAGTCATCCCCACTCGTCACAGAACCGAAATTGACTCCAATTTTGAGAAAAAAGTTTTTATTATAGATGAAGTTGCAAAACTTTTTATTAGTAAATACATTCTGAAACTGTTTTTTACTTCATGAATTTGGATTCTTTCTAATAATAAACTCGAATTTGAACAGAAAACACTCTCTGCAATCGTTCATAATTGAAGCCGAAAGTCGTAAGCGCTACCGTCGGTTCTTATGAGTACTGTGGTATGTCGACAGTACTGTGATTAAACGTGTCACATGGATAATAGAAAAAAATATACTAATAAACTAGAAACATCACTCTTTTCGATACACAACTTTGATATTTAATTTTCGATCAAACTACGGCACTCTGTATACTCAGCTAGATGGAGGCACAGTAGCACTCCACATGAAGCTATTTGCTGTTGGCAATAAGAAGTGCACGACAAAGGCTTCCCATCAATCTCGTACTCTTTTGATTTATTTTTTATGCTTCTACCAAGGCGAGAAAACTGCATTAGATATACAAATTCTCCTTAAAGCATTTTTTTGAGCCAATAGACAATCGATAATGTTGTTCGGCTTCACTTATTCATCTATTCTGTACACAATTTTTGTCATGAATATCACTATTATTCAACTCGCATCGAGCATTGCATGTTTAAATAGCAAAATAACAGCACGCCTATTCAAAGCAGCATCATTTTTTATTGGCACTATCGACGACATACTTCGGAGCGAATGCAGTATGTTTACACAATAACAGGCTTGTTTCTTATTATGAGAAAAGAACAGAAATAGAAAAAGAAAACGCAGTACAGCAAACAAACTCACCTCTTTTATATTTATCGATTCGGCTCTTTTTCTTCATCAACAACGTAAGAATAAGTAGTGATGAGAAACTTTGTCAGTGTGACTCCAGATTTAGGTTAAAATATAAAACTTACATACAATTACCCAAAGAACCACAGATTAAATATTACAAACGCATGAATAGTTTTAGAGAACAAGAATATACATTAAATCGAATACGTCTTGGTGCCTCTATCCATTTACAATATTCTCAGATTGTCTCGCAGCTCTTCATTTTTCTGTTGTCAACTCCTTCTTTCGTTAGTCATCGTTTGTTTTCCGTGGGCTTCATGATCACATTCATTCTGTTATGCTCAGCGTCGAAACATACGATCATATTTTGATAGTTTTTTCCTTGCAGAAACAGTGGTTTTCTTTCGTTTTCGTCGGTGCGTTAATTCCTGCTCTATAATGTTTTTTTTTGGTATTTCTTGTTATGTCTTTACAGGCATACTGAAATGTCACTGAAAATTCATGTTGCTTTCGATCACAAGATTTGCTTAGTCGATCTGCAGCTTCGATCATTTAAAATTCTGTTGTTTTGAATGTTTTCCCATGTGAAAATTTTTAGCTGTGTAAGTTATTTCTAAGCGACTTAGAAAAGCTTCAGTTAAATTTCTTCGTTACAAGCTGGTGTAAGCTACTTCCATTAAAAAAGCCGCTTAATGGAGCTCAGGAAATGGTGCTAGAAGCGATTATCTTTAATATCGCATAAAAGTGCTGTGATTTTTTTCATCTTTAAGCGCTACAATTAGAGATCTGCAAAATTATTTTTATTTTTGTTCACTCAGAATTTTACTTAGTTCTGGTCATGTAACTTAGAAAATTCGAATCGAAGTGGGTTAACTGATTGCAGATGATTCAATTTTAACATTAGAATAGTTTGACACAAAAGTTCAAACATCCGTTATATACTGTAAAAAAATGCGAGTTAATTTCTACTTTTTGCCGTTGATCAAACTTCGCGAACATGTCTTCAGAGTCGTCAATTTATATTAGCTTGTACAGAAAGGGTTGAAAACAATACTTAGTGGTCAAATATATTATAACATTAAAGTGAAATATTTTTCAGTCAATGAATTACCTTCAAAGCTAATACCTAATGTTCAATAACTATAGAACTACTGATCCTCTATAGTATCTGAGTCGTATGTAGGTTTTGTACCGCTTACAAAATAACATTCCTCCTCGATCAACGCCAATTACCGTCATAATGTATTCATATGTAGAGCACTCCTAGAATAACATAACCACTAAGACTCTGGTCCATATTTAGTTGATATAATGTCTTTTTACTGGATTCCTGTTAGATAATATGTCTTAGAAAAAAACACATTTTTGAACTTGAACTTGGAACTTATTATATGAATTTCTAAAAATATCCGTGTTTTATACAATACTAAAACTAAGAAGAGTATACATTTTGAGAAATTCATATATTAATATTGTGATATTCGAAACGAATGAAATTTTGTATATGAGATAATCTAATTGAACCGTTCATGTTTACAAAGTTACAAGTCGAAGTTCAAAAATGTTTTTTTTCTTCTAAGATTGCTCATCTAGAAGGAATTCGGTAAAAAGACATCATAGAAACTAAATATCGACAAGAGTCGAACACTTATTTGGAGATTATACTGTACATATGAACATAGTATAATACCAATTAAAGTGAATTATCTATGAAGGATTGTTTGTTGAAATCCAGTGCTTGAAAGTATCTCTCAAGCAACAATATAAGCTACTTCAAGCTAGCTTTTTCACATGATTAGAAATGACTTCCCATATAATGAAAATCGCCTAAATATCGATGATTTTATGTTGATTCATTTAACCGAATAATTGCGCAATGATATCGTACAAGAAGGCATTTTTTATTGAAAATGGTAATTATAATTGATAATTTACGCTTTCTACTAGTTTATTAGCTAGCGACTATCATTAGATTGATATTTGATAAATCTCATGCAAATAAAAAATAATGATCATGAAGTTTTCCAATCTATTTTGAACAAATGAAACAGAGTATTGCACAATATTTATCAATGAGAATGCTAACCAATAATTAGTTAGAATATTGGATAAAGAAAAACTTGTGAAGAAATATAGTGACCGAAACTTGAGGTAGAGCTTTAAATATGAGTATCGATCACTGTATTGTTGATATTTCATCTGGTCTAAAATACTTTGATTTTTATTGATTCATAACGATTAAAAAATTTCTGTCTTTTCTTCACTCCTGAAAACAATAAAAAACATGTCTTTTATGTAACATTATACCGTACAGTTTTGAATAATTTCTACAATGAGAGGAGATAGTTTTCGTGTAGTAAACGACAAAAACTTGTTTTCATTGCTTTGTATTATCTGAAATGAATCCACCAATACATGCATAGTATGAGTCTTTTGGATAAAACTAACTATCAAATTCTACAAAATAATTTTGTAATTATTCTTTTTGGAAAATGTTTACTCTGCTTCTGTGTTAATTAATAGAAATCGTAGGATTGATATAAATCTTTCACTTATTCGCTCCCGAGTTAATAGGATGAAATAGAAAGAAATCTACATGTCAAACCGGACTTGTCGAATCAATCTTCTTGCTCGTATCTCATAGAACTTAGATAACAAGTCGTGACTTTTGATAGAACTACATTGTAGACAGAAAATAATCGGTAAAATAAGACAGCTAGATATAGGAAAATATGACCTGCCAAGCGGCAAGATTTCTAGCAACCTTTGTTTTTTTCTTCTTGCACTTTCTACTGCATATAAAAAATTATTAATGTCGAAAACGGACAGTGAAATGTCTGTATAGAAAGAAACTGGAAGTTTCTGAAGATAAAATGAAACCCATTATATTTTACAGTAGGTTTTATTAAAACTACCAGTCATGAAAGCGTATGCTTTGACATTTATCCTGATTTTTATTGGTACGGCAACATCCATTTCTTTACCTGATTTCGGTAATACTAACTTATGAACATACTTGATTATTGATCTCTCCTTACGTAGGTATTTGTATTGGTCGATGGGAATTCTTCGATTCTATTAAAACAAAGATTACCATTGATTGGCAAATACTTTCTTTGACAAATACCTTGATTGCTCAATTTCGGCCTAGTATTGTAGAACGAGGATTCTGGTATGCATTTGGTCTTCGCTTTTCTCCAGAAAAACCTGTATGTATCTTGCAATGTTGCTCAAATCTCAATGCTTTAAATTAATATTTTTTCCAGATTGTCGAAATTGTCTACTCTCTTCGATGGCCTATGAACGATTCAGAACTGTTTTGGGATATTTTTAATGTAACTGAAACGAATGTGACTATCATGGATCGCATTCCGTCAATCATTGATCGATTTCAAAACTGGATAACATCGGGTCTGCTTATAGTTCGACCACCATTAAACATCGATGATGTAATTTCATTTCTGAGCGGTAATCAATGTATGTATTTAGTCTACATGCGAGGACATTTCGATGGTGATCAACCTTTACCACCTGATGAAGTCATATTTAATCAATCTTTATGTATCACTTGCCAAGGTACATCCTTCTATGCATACTTTTTATATCATTATTTCAGCATCACTCATTTCTAGCGATCCAGATACCTTCGACAAGTACGCCTATAATTAATGTCAATTCCACTACCATTGGTGAGGGAACAAGTATATTGACCACATCGAGTTCGTCACCAGATTTTTCAGCAACCACTATCAATGGCTCTTCATCAAGTGTTTCAACCACAACCAGTGGTTCTTCGTCAAGTGTTTCAGCAACCACTATCAATGGTTCTTCAGCAAGTGTTTCAACTACTACCAGTGGCTCTTCATCAAGTATTTCAACCACCACACGTGGTTCTTTGCCAGGTGAGTAAAGGAAGGATGTCAGTACCATTCAACTAACTGGAAAGCCATAAAGCTTTTTTTATATTAAAAATTCAATGATATTAAGATTTTGATCTAGATGAGGAGTGAACGATCTTAAACTCTTCTCAAAAAGATTGCAATGTCTTTTGTTTTTCATGATAAGATATTTATGCTATTATGAACCTTACTTCTTTAACTTCTCAGAATTTAATCTGCTGTGGTCTGGTCGCATTACTAATATAGAGTGGTCAAATGATTGCAGCAATTTGACGTCATCTTGCAGTCAGAATTTGGCTTCCAGCTTGCAGAAAGTGGTGCGAGCACCCCCAAATTGTCTATGACATGTTTGTAATTTTCTCGTTTACTTAGTTCTGTTCATTGATAACAAATAATTCGCCATTGTACTTCATTTGCACTCGATTTACGCTGAATTCATTGGGGTATGTCATATTTGCCTTTTACATTCTTTTGTCCATTGTTTGTTTATTATTCTGTTTGTAACTTTAGACAGGGTTCAGTTCGTTTCTGGAGTAGTGTTATTCTCATGTCAAGTGCATCTGAAGATTCGATCGTTGCGACACTCGTCAACTTGACGTCAACACTCAACAATTCGAACAACAGTGAACTTGTTTTCGATCCAGCATCTAACAATCTAACGCGAGTTGCCCAAGTTACCATCTCACCAACAGGTGCCATTACTCTCACTACTGCCAAACAGAATCAAGGTACATAATAATAAGACTTGATCGTAGGGATTTTTCTAAAGTAGTAACCTTTTTCTTTAGACGATTCTTCTTGGCGTTTGATTGTCGGTTGTGTTGTTGGTATTGGAGGTTTTTTGATTTTACTCATAATTGTTTTGGGTATATGCGGTTGGCGCAAGTACGGTCATCAGCGATCTTCTCTCAATACAAAAAAACCTAGAAAATTCAAACACGATACCAGAGAATTTGCATATATAGACAACCAACTACCGACGACGGGCTCTGGATCGCCGCATCTCGTACAATCGACTTCTTTGTGACTCTTCATCTCTCTTTCAATCACTTAACTTGAACTACACAAGTTAATTACTTCATTTTTGACAATGTTCTTCAGTACAGTACAATTTTTCAAAAGTTTCTTATTTTTAAATGGTTGAATAAACTACTGATAACTGTATCGAAATCCAAATCGATAAGAGCATATGCAGCTTACACTAAACTTTAATTTATCGATAAAGATTCGGACATCCTATCCATTCACATATCAGGTGGTCTCAAAATTATAAGACTCCCCATTGAGTTTTGAGAACAATAAAGATTTCTTCAACTAAAGAAAGTTTCATTCTCAATCTAATGTCATATCCATGGATACATAGTAGCATATGTCATATTGCTTTGAATTCGATCAATTAGCATCAATGAATAAATTCAAAAACTTTTGAATCTCTCCTGTCTCATAATTATAAGACCCCCCACCTTCTAAATATAAAAATATTGAATTAATGCTAACTTTAATAACTCAAATGATTCTTTTAAGGATCCATTCGAAAGAACAGACATTCAGGTATATGCTGAAAAAAAAATTGGTGAAGACTAATTTAACTTTCCTACCGTTGAAAAAATTAAATGTTAGAAAAGTTAAATCTCAAAAGTATGATTATGTAGTTCGAGAAAAATAAATTTTCACTTCTTCAATGTTTCAAGTTCTTAGTAATTGTAAAAAGATATTCGAAATATCTC